GTTTGCTCCTGCTTCCACCGGTTGAACTCCTGTCGAACCTGCTCCATGATCTCGTGCGGGACGCCGGCCGCCGTATTCAACTGGTTATCACGACGGTGGTTACTCCGGGAAGAGCTTACCTCCTCCGAATCCGCACCGCGGCTAGACGCCGACCTGTCAAGAGACGCCCTTCTACCGCTCGGCCGATTCCGCCGGGGGGAACCCGCTGACTGCAACCTGTCGAAGGCACTTGTCCGGGGAGCATGTTTTTCTGAGTGGTCGATCGAGTCGAGGCGTGTACGGGCAGCGCGACGCAGAGACTGCGGTGCCTCGGGAGGGGCGTTCGGCGGTCCTCGTGGCGACTGGGCTCTGTCGTGTTCGCTCGCCCCCGGGCCGAAGGCAGGGGGAACAATCCGGTAATTGTGGACCGGGCTATACATTTGCGGAGGGTATACCCCGGGTATCTGCGGCTGCGGGTATGCCGGGGGGTAGAAACGCAGAGCGTTGGCCCACCATTGGTACGCCGGGTCCATGATCCCCGGGAAGACTCCCGGGGTTTGGTACGTAGCTTGCATCGGGATGTCCCTGTAAGCGGCTTCCGTCGGTCCCATGCTGACCGGCTCCGGTGGCTGAAATGCTCCTTCTGGCGGTTGATTCAGGTCCATCCAGGCATTCAGATGCCTCCGTAGGTTAGGCTGGGTGTCGTCGGCGTCCCCGCCGGCGTTGAGGAAGTCCATGAAGGGATACATGTGACGAGGATCGGTAGCAATGCACGGATTTTGTACCGGTCCCCACGGACGGCGCCAAATGATGTGGATAAAATAACAGCGTATTGATACGTAGAGGTTACAGTAGAGTTACAGACAGACCGATCGTATGTGATGACCGGGATCCTCTCTAATCTAGTCAGTAGCCTCATCCAAAAAGTCCCCTACTCAAGCATTTAATGCAGTATTTATAAGGGACATGGGGAACAGCACCCGGTCTTCCGGCATGTCGGACACGTGGTGTGCATGCACCGGGCCTCGAAGGGGCAGGCATGCGACCGTACACGTGGCGCGTTCCTCCTTCCAACGGCAGGCCCCATCTTAACCGGCCATCCCTCCCGGTCACCGATCAGACGCCCGCAAGGCCTCCGAAGCGCTCCGTGCCGAGGGGCGACCGGTCAATCGGGCAAGAGGTTGCAGTAGTCGTGACCGGGCAAAAAGGCCGGGCTGGCTGGGCAATCCGTATAACCGGTGTATATTCCCCATTGTTCTTGAGCTGTTGAGAATTTTTTAGACTTGTTTGGATTGAGATTGTAGATGAAAATGTCATCTGGTGCACACACAGTACACCAGATCAGACCAGCGGCTCTAGCCACGGCCCATCAGGAGGGCCGCTGGCTAGAGCCGAAGCTACACGGGACTAGGGCACGGCCCTAGAGGAGGGCCGCCGCCTAGTCCCAGTATGGTAACGGGGCACAAGAGGCGGACCATGAGGAGTCCCGCCCCAGGTCCCTGAGTTTTGATCTGGGAAGAATTTGTGCAGTGGCCGGGCCTTTGTGGCTCAGCTACGTGTCATTTCGGGCCAAGTGTTATGGGCCCTTGTGGCTCGGCTCTTCGGGATCGTCTCAACGCACGTTTAGACTTTAATTTCGTTGAATTTGGATAAAAAATGAGTGAGATATGAATGATTTAGTGACGAATTGCTACACAGTTCATATATTTGTTAGTTCATAGTGTATGAGAAATGCTTGACTATGTGATCTAATGATATTTTTGTATTGAGTAAAGAAGCATGATGATTTGAGAATATGATTTATTATGAAAGTATGACTAGATTGTGATATTTGATCAATGAAAAATGAAGCATATTTGTTGAGAGAAATGTATAGAATTTGCTATGTTGCAAACCGAGAATGATATTATATTCTTAAGTACTTCATGTCGTTTTATACATGGTTTAGAAGCATATTATAGAGTATTTTGGCATCCCACATATGTCATATTTCAAAAATGCATAAAGGGCCAACGTGAGCCCAAGTATTTCTTTAAAAAGCCATAAGCATGTGGTATAACATTCTTTGATGCATTGAGAAGTAATAGAGATGTTGCATGCATGAGATTGATGCATGAGAGATATAAATATGTATTATCTATATTGGTGAGGTTTTGGCGGATACCGTTTGGACTATGTCCTCTCGGGAGATATTATGGACATTGCGGTCCCAGTATATATAACGCGGCGTATTCCCACGTTACGAGGTTGGAAACTGCCCGCCAGGCATGGAATCTTGGTTAGGGGGTGTGCACACTAATAGTTCGATACCTGATTCCACAGTGAGAGAACCACGAGATTGGTTCCGTAGACGGTATGAGATATTGGGTTGGATTTATGCCGCTCCCGATGGGATAATTCATGCTTGGGTGAAAGCCTAAGCCGTCTACGACTAAAAGAAAGAAAGAGAGTCGAGAGAGACTCAAGAGAAAGAAAGCGAGTCAAGAGAGACTCAAAAGAAAGAAAGAGAGTCAAGAGAGACTCAAGAGAAAGAAAGCGAGCCAAGAGAGACTCAAAAGTAAGAAAGAAAGTATGAAAGAGACCTCCACAGAAAGTACTCTATTTTTATAAAAAGTGTATGAGTATATATTTATAGTATTGCACGAGATTGCATATGAATATAGAACTACACGAGATTGCATATGAGTATGATTATAGTATTGCACGAGATTGCATATGAATATAGAACTACACGAGATTGCATATGAGTATGATTATAGTATTGCACGAGATTGCATATGAGTATGATTATAGTATTGCACGAGATTGCATATGAATATAGAACTGCACGAGATTGCATATGAGTATGATTATAGAACTGCACGAGATTGCATATGAATATAGTAGTGCACGAGATTGCATATGAGTATGATTATAGTATTGCACGAGATTGCATATGAGTATGATTATAGTATTGCACGAGATTGCATATGAATATAGAACTGCACGAGATTGCATATGAGTATGATTATAGTATTGCACGAGATTGCATATGAGTATGATTATAGTACTGCACGAGATTGCATATGAGTATGGTGTATAGTATTGCACGAGATTGCATTTGACTAGAGTATCGCATGAGATTACATAATGAGAATGTTGATTTAAGAATGTTCATCAAGCATGATTGATTAGTTACTTTTGAAGCCTTGTATATCAAGTTTATGTGATGAGAATTTGAGAGCATGAGAATACCTGTTATATGGTTTAATAACATGATCCTACCTGTAAGCATGACTTGCTTGTTAAGTTAATTGAGAAGTTTATATGTTGACATATATAAGTGTTCAGTCATATATATATATATATATATATATAAGCATGCCAGTTGATATTATAGGTTGCAAGCATCTAGAAAGTCTGTGATAGATCTAAAGATGTTTCGAGATGAGTTTCTTGTTTACAAGAGAAATCAAATGTTTTCAAAGTATATGCTATAATGCTTTACAAGGTTGAGTGTGGTTATACTTAGCTTTGTGCTAACGGATGTTTTCCTATTTGTCTATATGTTGCTTGCAAAACCCCTTTCAGGTGGGCCCAGCAGTGAGAAGAGATCGAGTTAGATTAGTCTTGTAGTTTGAGAAGTCTAAACTCTAGTTATGTTGATGACTTTGTTTAAGGATTTTAGACTCCTGATTGTTATTATGGTTTTGATGATGATGTAGACTTTTGGGGTGACTTTTTCCCCTTATGTTTTCAGTATTTATTTTGGGAGTTAGATATTTATTTTATTTCTAGTTCTACCCCTTAACCTGTGCAATCACCACGGAGTGGTGGTTGTGACGGTGACATTCCCACTAATTATCTTTTTATTGATTGATTAGAGTTGTGTTTAAGAGATAGAAAAGTGGGGTGTTACAGCTATCCCACCATCCTTGTCATTTAATGCACTACAAAGAAGACAACATTCTTGGTATATTGATTTCTCTAAACCTTCAGCGGTAAGAAACAATATACATGCATTAATGTATACATTCAACTTTTGTCAAAATGAATTTTTTATTTATTAACTTCTTCTTACATTTCTGTAGCATGATTTCTTATGTACATTAATTTCTCAACAACTCTCACGTGTTCAGTGACCCTTTAAAGCTAATTGTTTGAAATCGAGAACTAGAGCTCTACTTAATTCAATGCAACACTATTCATACTACTCTGGGAGGAAATAGCAACATCTTTCCAAATTAATGAAACAGATGATATTGTATTATTCAATACAGAAGACACCGTCGTACTAATTGATTGGTAACTGTAATGTTGAGAATATTTATCCATAGTCGATTGAATATTACATTCGTCATAACATGTATGGTGAACTTGTTAAATGAATCATAAATTTCAACACAATAATTTATCTCTCTTCTATTTATAAGCATATTATTATTATTCAATTTATTTATTTATTAAATTTGTACGTAATAATAATATTATTGTACAAATAATTTGACTATAAATTGTTTCTTATTAGTAAAGTACTCATAAATTATTTTATCTTATTATATTAGCTAAAGAATAATTATTAATCTTAATTATTTATGTACAAAAAATTGTAGTCATTATGTAATTATTACTAATTTCATTACTTTTATGATTGTTATAATAATTACACAATTAGTTTTCATTATTATTATACACTAATTACAAATTATTGTTAATTACATTTATGTTTCTAAATTATTATGTAATAAAAACAATTAGACGTATATACTATCTTTTTTTCCCACACTGTTACAATACTATACACATACACGTGCTTTCAAAAAAACTATATACATACTAGTATAATATAATACCATTTTTTTTTTTACCTTTTAACTAACTTTAAAAAAAAAAAAAAGCTAACATGCACTGTGGGGATGAATTTTTTTGTTAACCAGACATGCAATTTAAAAAGTGACCTATTTTTGTATCCCATCAAAAAACCCGGCCTAACCGTGTTAATGACCCGTTAGCATCCATCTTTGACCGGCGTTTGGCTGCGATCACAGGCCGATGGCCCTTAGTTCCGGACCATAGTCCTCCACGCTGCCTTCAAAGAGTTTGCCACAAGATCTATTGTTGTGACCGATCAAGCCGCAAATAAAGCAAAAAGTTGGTAATTTCTCATATTTGAACTCTATGTAGAAAGGTTCTCCTGTAGCGGGTTTAATCTTCATCTTCTTGGTAAGAGGCTTGGAAGTGTCCAACTGGACTCTGACTCGCATGAAACTTGTGGAGAGACCATCAGGATTATTGTCAACAATATCATCAGCTTTTATGAAGGAGCCAAGGGAGGATCCAATCATCTCCGCTGTTTTGTATGTTTGCATATTGGTCGGAATGTTGTATGCCTGAACCCAGAAATCCGCTGCAATAAGCTGCACTCTGTGAGGAGGAATGTTGGATTCTATCCTTTTGAGGAGAAGAAGGTTCTCATCATAGGACCAAGGACCATCGTCAAGGACTTTCCTGATGTCAAGTTCATTAACGAAAAAGAAAAGGAACAAATTTGTGGAGACTTCCCTTGCCATCATTCCTTTCTTGGGTTTCCAAATAGAAGCCATTGTATCCTTCAAGAAGTTGAAGCGGGTAGGTTTCTCCGAAAGGAGTTTACCGACAAGGATGAAAGGAGTTTCAATCTCTATATCGGCAGCAGCCCCTTCTGCAATAGGGAACTCATCATCAAACTCCTCCTCATCATCCCCTAAGGAAAGAGCCGAATATTCTTCCCCCAAATCCATATGATGTTTACTGCTAGAGGCCATATATATTGAGGATCGGATATGATCAGTTGTGGGTGTATAGGAAGGATTATTGTCTGGGAGATGTGGGTTGAAAGGAGGAGACCGTTATCATCGTTTAAGGTACGAGGTTGTTGGGCATTGAACGAGGATAATAGACAAAGAGAGGCAGCAGTAATGAGACTCGTATGTATTTCAGAATCATGAAGAGGCCGGGGATATGATGGAGAAGAGTAATTAAATACACTTCACAATAAATCAGAAAAGCAGGAACGATTATGGCGTCCAGAAAAAACTACTCATCACCATGAATGAGATGGAGAAACTACGTATGGTAGATAATCGTTGTCGACTTTTGTTCACTAGTATTCGGAGATTGCATCTCTAAAAAGTTGTGAGTTCTAAAAAGTTGGTTACAGGAAATTAAATGGAAGAGAAAAATCGTGCACTATAGGGTGGACGAAAGTTATGTCTACAATTGATGGTATAAAACAATTTGTTTATTTATTAAATATAAAATGTATTAAAGATGGAAATTGCACTTCGATCCGGATGGAAATTGCATTTGTTGCTTCCCGTGCGTAGGGGTGTAAACGAATCGAATCGAGTCAAATACCTCACTATTCGATTCGAATTCGACTATATATTCAAATATTCGTATTCGTATTCGTTTAATATTCGAATCTCAAATTTGATTCGTATTCGATTCGACCAGTTTATTCGAATATATTCGATTCGACTCGAATATTCGAATTCGAAAAGCCAAACTTAATTTTTTACAAATTTCTCAAAAAAAATTAAGATAAAATATAATAAAAATTAATATTTAAATAGCATAAAATTTAATATTAATATACTAATCAAGAATCACATGAAAATAACAACAAAAATTCAATCATCAAATTCATACATTAAATACTAACATAAAAATTTAAGTCTGCATTAAGCTTAACTTGAATCCAAAAAATAAAAACTCAAAAAAATCCATAAATTAAGTACTACAATAACAAATTACACTTCAATTATAATCAAATCATCATGCTTGCAATATGACATCAATTGGTTCTTCTTCCTCCTACAAAAAATGAAAATAAAGTTAATATTATTATCATTCAATCAATAAGATATACAAATTTACTAAAGTAGAACGTACATATGTCATAATAGGCTTATCGATCCCATGAAGTTGACGAACCCAATCTGCTCCACAAATCAAAACTTGCACCATATCAGAAGATAGTTTAGCACGATAAGGATCTAAAACTCGGGTACCTGCACTAAATGTGGCTTCTGATGCCACGGTGCTAACTGGAATAGCTAAAACATCACGTGCTAATTTAGACAAAATACTGAACTTCAATTCATGAGATTTCCACCAAGATAAGGCATCAAATTCAGAAGTTACTTCACCATCTTGACACCTATAAACCCCTTCCTCCAAGAAAATGTCCAACTCTGATTTGTTTGGAGTTTCATCTTCAACACTGTCCAAATATTTATCATACAAATGCAAACCAGAAAGGACAACTTTTCCTTTAGAAGTAGAGCCTGCAGAAGTAACAGAAGAACTCCCTATATGTGTCACAGCTGAAGAACTACCTTTTCGAATTTTCATGTTATCAATTTGAACATATTCATAGAACAAGTCATATAATGCATCTTTGACCTTCGTCACATTTATACGTGCATCATTTGCATTATATATTTGGTTGAAAGAAAAATTAACCAACCTCATTTTGTACCTAGGATCAAGTATTGCTCCAATAGACATCAAAAGATTGCAATCACCCCAATATTTGTCAAATTTTGTCTTCATCTTTTCAATCATATTTCTAATCAGCTCTTCATGATGAAACTCATTTTCATTTAAGACATGCTTGACCCTCCAAACAACACCAAGAAAAACATTAGAAGTGGGGTAGTTAGTTCCAGAGATCACGTGAGTAGCTTCATAAAACGCCTCTAAGATGCTAAGAACATCCTGTATTCTAGTCCAATCTTCCAAGCTAGGACAACATTTATACGAAGGCTCTCTTTGTGCAAATATTGGAAATGCATCCTTCAGTTTAATGGCTACAACTAACATTTCATATGTAGAATTCCAACGAGTAACACAATCAAGAATTAACTTTTTCACCAAAATTCCCAAATGATGCACAATTTCAGAGAACTTCAACAACCTAGACTCAGACTGATTAATAAATCGCACACTATTCCTAACATCTTCAACAATGGTTTTAATTGTAGAAATATCATCCTGAACAACAAGATTCAATATATAAGCAGTGCACCTCACATGAAATAGCTTACCACCCAAAGGTAGCTTATGGCTCCTGGAGAAAGTTTGTTTGGCAATTCTAATTGCAACATCATTGTTTGAAGCATTATCCACAGAAATAGTGAAGATTTTATGCTCTATCCCCCAATCTTTTGTGGACTTCATAACCCCATAAATGATATCAACACCTGAAATATGACAATAATATATTTAAAGTCAAGAAATAGTTATTATTAATTAATTAATATAGAGATATATTTACAAACAAGTGAACAACATTACCAGTATGTGGAGGAGGAAGAGGCATGAAACTAAGTACACGCTTTTGAAGTTGCCAATTTGAATCAACAAAGTGTCCAGTGACACACATATATGAAATCTTTTGCACCTTAGACTTCCAAATATCAGTGGTCAATGATATCTTATTGATGGTTCTTAACATTGATTGTAACTTTTTCTTCTCTATTTCATAAACAGTAATGACATCATTCCTTGCCATGGCACGAGAGAGTTTTTCAAACTGTGGAAGATTAGCTTTGAACATAAAAGTAAATCCATAATTTTCCACAACATTTAACGGTTGCTCGTGAATCAGAATCCAATGAGCAATAGCTTCTCTTTGCTTCATATGATCATATTTACCATCTGACAAAAGAGGTGTCTCAAACTTGGATTTTGCATTCTGAAATTGCAAGGTTTTTTGATTTTTTGTATGAAGCTTCTTTTGTGTACACCTATTCAAATGGTTCCAAAGATGAGTTGTTGTAGAAGACGCTGACTTAGAAAGGAATGCTTTACAATGTATACATTGTAGCTTTATACTTCCATCCTTTGCAGTAACTTCAGTAAAATCAGCGTAGGCTTTTGATACCCTTTTTCTTTTCTTTCTTTGAAATTGGTCTTGATCATCATTCTTTTCACATTCCTTCTCATCATCACCTTTTTCATCTCCAACATCTATATTTTCATTTTGTACACCATCATCATTAACCTCCAAGTCGTGTACATTAACTTCATTAAAATCAACATAATTGATTTCCTGAAAAAGTTTAGAAGCATTCACTAAAGATACCAACATACATTATCTAGATTCTAGAGTTTAGACAAGGAAACAAATGACACATATTCAATTACTTATTCTAAGACCATAAATTGAGAAAAACTATGAAAATTTTAGATAATTACTTCATCCACCTCATATTCTCTAACCTCGTGTACTTGTGTTTGCTCATTTTCTTGTGCTTGTGTTTGCTCATTTCCTTGTGCTTGTGTTTGCTCATTTCCTTGTGATGGCTCATTTGGATTTGAAGATTTCATATTTCTGTTAAATGTTTCCAAGTACTATATTTACTATTTCACAGTAGATTAAGAAATCAAGATTGATTCTGGTTATTTATTTATTTATTTATTTATTTTATTTTATAAATAAAAATTATATGGTTCAATTGCTTTCAATTGAACCATATATGAAAACACAGTTATATTCTGCTTTCAAGCTTTCAATTCAATCATATATGAAAACACAGTTATATTCGGAGAGATTCAGTAGCAATTTCTTTGTATAATGAATTTATTCATTCTAGAATCTAGAGGTAGGCTCGGTTTAACAAATAACATTTATACAAATAAAAAATAACAAAATAACGTATTAACATTTATACTTACTGCGCCAGAGAAGAAGAGGGGTTGGAGGCTTGGAGCTTCTCTGGCACGAGACCTTCACAGATATGGAGATTGGAGTGCAGGCGTTGGAGCTTCTTCGGCGCGACACCGGTACGAGTATGGAGACTTGGAGAGGAGATGTTGGAGACTTGGAAGGAAGTGCAGACTGCAGAGCTGTGGGAGAAATAGAGAATGGAAGCTTGAAGGCAGTAGCATCGGAGGATTCGGATTTCGGAGGCGTTCTCCGTTCTTCTCCCGAAGAGATCGCGAGACTTGGAGTTGAAGGGGTAAGTGCTAGCCTGTACTCTGTTAGGGTTTTGCTTTAGTTTTAGACTTTTAGTACTAATATAAAACTAATATAAAATATTATATATTATATAAAATTATATATACATATATTCGAATATTATTCGAATCGAATATTTTTTTATTTGTATTCGGATTCGAATAATATTCGAATCAGTATAAGTATTCGAATTCGGATTCGAATTCGAATTATTCAAATTCGAATCACGAATCGAATTCGAATTATTTGATTAGTTTACACCCCTACTCGTGCGGTTGTGCAGTTGATTAATGTGCGTGAGGTTTATACTTAATGTGCGTGAATGTTATCCTTAATGTGCCTGAGATTTGTACTTAATGTGCGTCATGTTAATATGCGTGAGTTTTGTACTTAATGTGCCTAAGTATTGTGTTTAATGTGCGTGAGATTTGTGTTTAATGTGCGTGAGTATTTCAGAATTACGAGCTCAGAAGGAAGCAGAACAGAAACTCACACACATTAACCCCCAAGCTTCTTGTTACTTCTTCCTTCAATTTGGCCATGGATTCTGGATTATCAGCTACCTTCAGTGCAGTTGAATGTTTATATAAATGACGCACTCACAATAAAACTTGCACAGTAGCTAAGTGTGGATTTATGTTGTACTATTCCCATAATTCTTAATCACAATAGCTCGCCTCCGCATCATCATCATCGGGGAGGGGCATCATCATCATCGGGGAGGGAGCAATGGCTACTGGGGATGGGAAGAAGCTGAAATCCATATTTTCTGCTGCATTTTACACATTCACGCACATT